CCCCCCCCCTTTTTTTTTCTTTTTGCCTATTATTCTATTTTTAAAAAATCGCCGGGTTTTGGGGCCGCGGTTGGCCGCCGCGGTCGGGATCCCGACCGCGTGCGGTGAAATGGCCCACGGTCATGACCGCGGGTGATACATAGCTCCAAGGCCCAAGATCGCTTTCCTCGGTAATCCGTTGGATATGTCGTATTACTCCAATGGTCCCGGGTTCAAGCATGGCCGCCGCCATGTATTTGTCAAGTCTGATTTCGGTGGCTGCAGGGCCATCATTTCCGTGGTCCCAGTATCCATAACAGCCGCCACCCTTCCCTGTCCTGCAGCGGTCGGGGTCGCCAATGGGATCTGTGAAGATCCCGCAGACCCCACCGGTGCCCGGCGTTTCGGACAATCTTTTGCGAGGTGGCCCGGCTGGTTACAATTGTAACATCGCAGGGGCAGAGTGGCCCCTGCCAAGACGGGTCGTGGCATAGGGGACCCAGCGGCCATGGCCACTTGCTGCCTTTGAGCCGCTGCCGCCCATTGTTTCTGTAATCCCTGGACAAACTCGGTCAAGGGTGCAACCACCATAACGAGTTATGTGGCTACCTCCTTCATTAATAGTTCTTCTACGTCCCGGCCTCCTTGTGTTTGGAAAGGGCGCCTTGGGGCCGAGGAAGAGGATGGTGCTCTTCGGTCCGGATTTCTCTTAGCTGGTCCTAATCCGAAACGATCTTTGAACATCCTCGCCATAGCGGAGTAGTTAAAATAAATAAATAAAATTGGAGGCTACCGCACCATAGATAAAAATAGATAAAGGCAGGAGACCTTCAAAAGGGGCCCGCAGCCGATAGCTGGGAGGGTTGTCTGAACTGGATGAGCCTTAGGAGTAGTGTTTCCAAAAGGAAAAGCACTTCCGTGAGGTTTCACGCTCCATGGAAAGATTTTTATTTTTATGGTAATTCTCTCTTTCTTTCGTTGCCGATAGTAGTGTTTCCAAAGTTTCCAGGCCCACGGTGCCCCCTTGCCCCCCTACTCCCAAGTTTCTGTCCAGCCCGAAAGGGCGCTGTGAAATGGCCGCCCTATACCAGCACTTCATGACAGTGTGAAAAATGTCAAAAAAACTGTCACTGTTCATTTCCAAGATGCTGGCCGCCGCGGTGGCATCCCAGAAAGTTTCCTGGTCGAAACTGTACAGTTTCTGCCAGGCAGTTGGATGAACTTGGATCCACCTCTTAGTTCAAGAAGGGGTAGCGGTGATGCTTTGCTGTCTAACCATGACGACAAGGGTTTTGTTTTTCAAACATTCGTATCCTACTGATACTAAATCGGAAGAGGGCAATCTGATGTGAGTACAAATAGAGGACCAGGTGCAGCCTGCTGGATATGATCAAGATTAGAACTTCAGACTAACCTTACTCCCTCAAACATAACGCCCCATCATCTCTCTCTCTCTCTCTCTCTCTCTCTCTCTCTCTCTCTCTCTCTCTCTCTCTCTCTCTCTCTCTCTCTCTCTCTCTCTCTCTCTCTCNTCTCTCTCTGTGTGTGTGTGTGTGTGTGTGTGTGTGTGCAGCACCTAGTGCAACGCCAGCCTCATGAGCGTGGTAACCAAAGCCGTAGCCTGCAATCTGTGACTGTTGTATCTCTAGCTATACCTACATTCATACACTCGTACATTACTGGTTGCTGGGGAGAAATGTGGGGTGGGTGAAGGGCAGTGGGAGTGGGGCGAGGGTCCATTCTCTCTGTATGTACAAGAGTGTGTAATGTATGAATGTATGAATGGTAGGAATAGCTAGAAATACAACAGTCACAGATTGGAGGCTACAAAGCCGTAGCCTCCAATCTGTGACAGTTGTATCTCTAGCTTTGTAGCCTCCAATATGTCAGAGTTCTATCTCTAGCTATACCTACCATTCATACATTCGCACATTACACGCTCTTGTACATACCGAGAGAATGGGCCCTCGCCCCACTCCCACTGCCCTTCACCCACCCCGCATTTCTCCCCAGCAACCAGCCACAGTAGACCACACAGAACAGTTGATGAAATGGGAGCCAACACACAAGCCAGGGTAGTGCTAGTGTCTGTATGCCCTGAATGCTCAGATAAGGTTCTGCTAAACAGATCAGGAGTTCAACTCCTGACAGGTACAACAGTGATTTGCCGATTTACAATGACTCTGTACTCACGCTAGGCCTTCTCGCCTGCACTCTGGACATGATAGGAGTCAGATACATCCACGTGGGGCCTTAAATGCAGTCAGATACTGTTACATACTGCATTCCACACGGGGCCTTTCAGGCCAGACGACTAGGCTGAGGGGTTCCGAGGGCCTGGACGCGATAATCCAGGCCAGGCCGGCCCAAAGGCCGGACCTTTTTTAGGCCACCCCTTTGGCCTTACGAGACCAGTTCTAGACCAGGCCCTGCAGCCGCAGGCCCTGGGCGGGAAATAGCCAAACGTTTTTCGTTTGGACCAGGCCGTCGTTTAGGCAGCCTGCTTCCCGAAAACCGGTCTGACCTGAACCACGGATCGGACGATAGACCCGGCGGTTCAGATCGGAGGCCACCTTGGGAGGCAGAGGCCGAACTGGTCGCTGGCCGGTATTTAGGCCCAGCCAACGGCCATTCCGGGGACTTCGGAGGACAGCAGCATTGAGGAACGCCGCTGCGCTATTTCGGTTCAGCACAGCGCTAGACAGCAGCGCTAGGTGTAGCGCTGGCTGTAGGGAGAGGAAAGAGAGCGAGGAGGGAGACTTACCTGACAGCAGCCACGAGCGCCATAGCTCCCAGCAGCACAGCCATCTCCTGCACCAGCCAAGGTGCCACCTTGTACCATCAGGTAGGGCCTGGAGCTACTCGCCATCTCCGCCAATGCTCTGCCCCTCTCTTCTTCTTCTCCTTCAGACTTCTTCTTCTTCTTCTTCTTCTTCTTCTTCTTCAGACTTTGTCTTTTTCTTCTTCTTCAGACTGGAGACTTTTGATACGAGTTAGACAGAGATCAGTTATTGGACTTCGGTGGTAGGAGGATGTGATACGTACCGGATTCGAGACATTGGAGATAGTTGGGAATGATACCTGGCGGCATCACAGATTGGACATCGGTTACATTAGGATTCTGTACCTCCGATATTGGTGACTAATGTCCCCGACATTCTGATCTTGTTCGATGACATTCTGAGCTACCATATCGGTGACCTTCTGGATTCTATCTCGGTGACATCTGGCGCTGTCCATATCTCCCACCTCCATCATCTCTCCTCCCACCAGTCATCTGTGTATGGTTGTACGGGGCCTGAAGCATCGTCTATGTATGGCTTCAGACCCAACCATCTCACGATCACTTGTGTGTTCAGTGATGTTTGGGTGAGTTCAGCCTTTGTGAGTCAGTCCATTTCTCAGACTTCCGCTGCATACATGTTCATCCTATAGTGGTTGATCTTTGGGTCTGCCCATACTTGGTGAAGTATTCACTAGTATGCAACAGATACAGCGAGGAAAATGCTAGTGCGTGCATGACCTGAATGCTCTGAGCGGGCTAGCTCAGTTGGTTAAGCACGTAAGTAGCACTCAGGAGGTCGTGGGTTCAATTCCCAACGCCGTCCTTTCTATCCCCGCGGCCTCCTGGGGGTATGCTTCGGGTTCACTGGCGGAGATTGTTGGCTTCGGCCTCCTGACTGGTTAAGGAAGTATTTCGATTTCCAGCCGGTGCCAGGTGCTAGGAGCTTGGGTACTGCTCCCCGCAGTGAGCAGAGAGAGGTGGACGTAGACCCATGACCTTGGGATGGCTTATACCTCTGGCTGGCAAATTTGAGCTTCGCCCTGTGCCGTAGTACATAGCCGG